GGTTATTGGAGACAAGGGCCTAATTTAATGTGAGTTCCATGGGGGGAAAGGGTTGTGTATAGTAATGTTTACAGGATTATGCTATGTTTGCTACTTTGTATCTTTAAGGTTTTCCAAGTATATACTGCTATTGGATACAGAAGAAATATTAATACATTGGATGCTGAATATACACTCCTGCCTCCCTGGTTTATTTATTTGACTGTGGATAGTATACTAGAGAACTCTCATTATAATGTATTACAGTAAGATTTGTGTCACCTCTGAAAACTTATTTGGGGGCATATTCACTAAGCGCTGACACTGCTGTTGGCATTTCATATTTTTAAAGGTTTACTGTTTACAAAAAAAAGTGAAGATGTCTATATAAAACTGACTAGTTGTTTTTCAAAAGACCATGCTTGAACCAAGGCTGTCTTTAACAAAGTGCAAAAGGGGTTGCTGCTCATGGTCTAGTCAGATTCAGGGCTCTTTTAGCCCTCTTTGCACCAAAAGAAATTGCTAAGAATATCTTCTATTCAGTGCCGATTGAGTCTGTTGAGCATGCGTATGCACACATTGCATTGGCTTAGAGGAACATTCTAAGTATCAAAACTACTTTAGCTAAATGGTGTACAGATCATGCCCCATGCAGTCTCATTGTTGAATTCTGTGCCATTTAAGAGTGAAATCACTGTTGTTTCTGGTTTTGTAGCCCAAGCCACACATCCCATGGTTGTGACTCAAGTAGCTTGCATAAAAAAGGATTAATTTTCAATCAGATGTTAACTTGCTTTAGAAGTTTTTGCTGCCCTAGTCACACCTCCCCTGACTCACACAACCTTTCTGAAAAAACAGTAGTTTCATTTTCAACCAGAATTTATGGCACAGTGCACTTACTTTACAAGTTCTTATCTCCTGCTCTGTTAATTGAACTTTAATCACACACACAAAAGGTCCCTGCAGCCTCTAGCAGGCTATTAACTGCGCGGGGGATAATAAAGTCTAAATAAAACACACTGTGCAGTAAGAGTAGGTAAAAATGTTAGAATCTTTTACGGTAAGTGTGTAGGAAGGCCGTGTTAGTCTCAAACAGGTGAGGTGTGGCTAGAACAACTTAAGCAACGTGTTTTAAATTAACTCCTAACTAGCAGCAAATTGAGCAGTGAGACCGCAGGGGGATGATCAATACACCAAAACCACTTCATTAAGCAAAGTTGTTTTGGTGCTTATTGTGCCCCTGTACATTTTCTCAAATCCCAGCCTAATTAAGTAGCAGTGGCTATTTCAGTAAAACTGTTACTTAAAGATGCTCAGGTAAAAGTTTTTTTTTTTTTTTTTTTTTTATATTTGATTTGATGAATACCATAGTAATTACTTTAACCCTAGAGTAGTAGCAGTTTCAGCATAGGGTTTATTTCTGTGTATTTTTACATCCCATTCTTTGCTAGACTACAGAAGGCAAAGTCTATTTTGTGATCTATCAAGTGCAAAGGGGAATCATGTGATTTACCTCCTTCAATAACTTATATAGCTTAGATTTTCTAATGGCATATGTTTTGCACTGTGTATCAAAGTGAATAGTATTGCATTTGTTACATAGTTACATAGCTGAAAAGAAACTTGTGTCCATCAAGTTAAGCCTTCCTCACATGTGTTTTTGCTGTTGATCCAAAAGAAGACAAAAAACCTAGTCTGAAGCAATTTTGCAACAAACTAGTAAAAAATCCCTTCTTGACAACAAAATAGCAGTCAGATGTCTCCTTGGATCAAGCAGCTATTACCCCACTAATTAGAAATTATATCCCTGTATGTTATTTTTTTTGCAAGTATTTATCCAATTGCAGTTTAAACATCTGTATGGACTCTGACAAAACCACCTTTTCAGGCAGAGAATTCCATATCCTTATGGCTTTTACTGTAAAAATATTTTTTTGCCTTAGATGAAATCTCCTTTCTTCCAGCCTAAATGTGTGACCTTGTGTCCTATGTATAGCCCTGTTTATGAAAAGATTTCCAGATCTGTGAGCACTTAGGTAATCTTTCCATATGTGATTGTGTTAGAGTGAATTCATAGTTGTGATCTGAATAGGTGTATTTGTGAACTCAGCAATTATGAAGCAAGTGTGAATATTAGCATGATCTCATATATATATATATATATATATATATATATATAAAAATGTATTTGAGATATATTTTATGTTACTCTGAGCTCAATGTGTGCTCAGTGCTCAATGAGCATGTGTGTTTGCTTAGTGTGAATGCAGTGTATATGAGATTAGGGTGTATACAGAACTAGCCATAAAAATGTATACACTTCAGCAAAATAAAAACCTGTGTAAATATTTTAACACTGAATTCATTCAGAATTCAAGAGATCAATGCAAATTACTTTTGACCTTTGCAATTACTAGAGGTGCTCGAAGTGTTGCCATTAGCGTCCAGAAACTTATTAGTATGGAGAACTGCTGCTCGGGCAATGTTGTCTACAGTTTCCAGTGGAATTGCTGCACATGCTATTTGAAAGACACCGGATAGGACGAAGAGTTGCAAATGAGGTCCCTGCACATTCTCCTGCTTTAACGCCTCTCGGCTTTTACCCATGGGTGACCCAAAAGGATGTTGTGTATCGCAGAAAACTGGCTACACTGGCAGCTCTTTGAAATTTAAGAAATTGAAATGGCATTTTGCAGCAATCCCACTCGAAACTGTGGGCAACATTGCCCTAGCAGCAGTTCTCCATACTAATAAGTGTCTGGATGCTAATGTGAACCACTTTGAGAACTTCTAGTAATTGTAGAGGTCAAACGTAACTTGTAATTATTCTTGATGTCTGAATAACTATAGCCTTAATATATTTATACAGGCTTTTCTTTTGCTGTAGTGTGTATACATTTTTCTGGCTAGCTTTGTATTAGTTCACACTCTAATGAGTTATCATATCACTGTTGTTTTGTTCTTCTATAAGCATATAGAGGCAAATATTGCAATATCTTTTTTTTTTAATGAATAAACAGCATTTTCAGAACACAATTTGTGGACCAATATGCATTAGATTGTATTTCTACTTTTTTTACATTTAACACAGTTCCAAAATAAAATTGCTACACTTGAAGTAACCCACAGCAAAGAGCCCACAGAGCTGCATGAGACGATGTTGAGATGTAATCATGTAATACAGAGATCTTGCTGAATCATCGTTAGTAATTTTGCCTAACGGTTTGCTTAACATATTCATGCTGTCTAAAATGATATTTATATTAGACAGTCCTTCCTAATAGAAAATCTCCTGAGAAAAATCTTTAAAAGAATCCTATAATTGGGATGTAGTTTACAGTATTTTATAAGTAGGTACAAATCTCCATGGGTAGTCAAGTACAATACCCAAACGTCATGTGGATCGGCAATTACTTTGTCTTCACAGCTATCACAGTAGCCAACAGGTGACCTACCAAATGTCTTATTCATACTGAGCTCATGTCAATAATCATGATTTCTTTCTTACTCTTGCATTTATCTTCAGTTTCCAAGAGGATAAATATTTGAGCATGTTTTGTTTTGTTTTTTAAAACCAAAAAGAAACTTTGTGATAAAATGTCTCTTTGTTATAAATAAAATAAATTCATTTCAGTTAAATTAAAATACTTTCTTAATAACGTGTATTACAACATGGCCATTGTGAATACAGTTATGATCAATTTAAGTTAAGTTATAAAATCAGTAATGTTTATATAAAAATGCATAAAACATATATAAATAGAACCTTCAAAATTACTGGTATTATGCAATATAAATCAAATGGAAAAATAAATATGATATACACTAAATCTTTTTTTTTACTATCAAATAAATTGTCAAGGAATGTAGAAGATTAAAATACAAAAAAAGTACATTAAAAGTAATTGAAGTAGTGGTAGGAGAGGAGAAACATCTTGTTTTTTTAATCTTCTTTCTTAAAATTTACCCTGTACAAACAGACAATAAGTACAACTTTCTAAAACAAAACAAAAATAATCCAAAAGCTACTATTTGCTAATACCAGCTGTCTCAGGCAATCAGTGACATATATTTGTACAAAACAAAACTGACATTGATGATGTGCAAGGGTTAATTCGGCATTTTCAATGTGGTTAAGAGGAGCAGAGTCCCTGGGCTCCAAGAAGAGTATTAGTCAGGAACGTCATAAGGAGGGTCTATTGGGGACCTCTAGCCCAAAATCTGGGGTTCTTTAGCCCTGATTTTTTTTTTGTCTGCTAGTTCTGGACTGAGGTTTAAGGGAGGGGGTCAACAAAATCATTTGGGGGCTCAGGCCCAGGGTTTTTTTTTTGACCCTAGCAACATCTGGCATCAGTTTATTTCAAACCTTTCCAGTTTGATATAAACCAGAGAATGGTGCTGGGGCACTCTTGGCAACAGGCATCAACTGAAACTCTTAGCCAATCACCAGTGCCAAATGTTTCTCAATAATCCCCTTCTCTTCTCAGCCCTGTAGCCAACCAGGGAAGAGACAAGAGAGCACAGACCGGCATGTATAGAAAATGGTTTATTACCTTAAGGTAAAAATTTGCCAATGGACTCCAATCTTCAAAACAACTTCATTGAGATGAAGTTGCTTGAACAGAAGAAAGTCTCTTTAATTACACCCTAAAGGTGAATAAAAAACATACCAATACATGATAGCAATATATAGTCAAGATAATTTTGTCCACAAAATTTTAATAGTTTAAAATGAGAAATAAGAAAACATAGAATAACATGTTTATACATGTTACACTATGCTTTTTTTTATCTTTTTATTTTGAAGCTATTAAAATACTGATGCAAACTTTATTTGACTGCATATCACTGTCATATTTTAATAATACATGGAGTGTTATTACTGCTTTGGTTCAAATACACAACTAACAGTTCAGCAACCTCACTGTTTCAAGTATTAAAACCAAATGGAAACATGGAGGTAACAAAGTATTGTATACATTGTTCCCCTTCTGTTCAGACGAGATTAGGAACTTTCAGACTGGTATGGCCATACCAGTCTGAAAGTTCCTGATCTCGTCCGATCTCTGCAACCATCCAGACTTGTGCCTGGTTAGTACTTGTATGGGAGACCAACTAGGAAACTCAGGTGCCGTTGGGCGTTTTTTCCTTTTTATTATATTTTTGATCATGGACACTGGGCACTAGCTTATTTAAGCACTTCTTCTATGTTGAATATATTTCTGTTACTCACTATTTAATCTTTCTGCTTCTATGCCTGTCTAGATAGATTTAAAGGGAGAGAGGCTTTATAAAATTCTATTGTCAGTTTATTTGAAACTGACCTTTGATATAACACTGTCTACTCTCTATATTTGCTGTCTGATGATTTCTCATTTCAGATATATTGTATCACTTACTGTAATAATACTATAACTATTATAGAGATACTTTGGATTTACAATTATCTTCGTTAACCTATGAATATAGGCTCTGAGATTTAGTCTTATTTAATCTTAGCAGGTATAAGGTGAACAAGAGGAGTGTCCTGGTTATACCAGAGTTAGGGGTAACACATTGGGACTAGTGATGCACCGAACGGTTCGCTGGCGAATAGTTCCTGGCGAACATAGCATGTTCGCGTTCGCAACGGCGGGCGAACACATGCGCGGTTCGATCCGCCCCCTATTCGTCATCATTGAGTAAACTTTGACCCTGTACCTCACAGTCAGCAGACACATTCCATCCAATTAGCAGCACACCCTCCCTAGCAGACCCTCCCACCTACTGGAAGGCATCCATTTTACATTCATTCTCAAGCTGCATGCTTAGTGAGAGGAGGGAAAGTGTAGCTGCTGTTGATTAGATAGGGAAATGCATAGCTAGGTTAGGGTATACAGTGTCCACTACAGTCCTGAAGGACTCATCTGATCTCTGCTGTAAGGACAGCACCCCAAAAAGCCCTTTTTAGGGCTAGAACATCAGTCTGCTTTTTTTTTTCTGTGTAATGTAATTGCAGTTAGTTGTCTGCCACTGCTGCCAGCTTCTGTGTCAGGCTCACAGTGGATACTGTGCCCAGTGCCACCACTCACTCACTGGTGTCACAATAGCTTGCATTTAAAAAAAATAATTTTTTTTTCACTATAATAGATTGAATAGCAGTTAGTTGTCTGCCAGCTTCTGTGTCAGACTCACAGTGGATACTGTGCCCAGTGCCACCACTCACTCACTGGTGTCACAATAGCTTGCATTTAAAAACAAAAAACTTTTTTCACTGTTATAGATTGAATAGCAGTTAGTTGTCTGCCAGCGTCTGTGTCAGGCTCACAGTGGATGCTGTGCCCAGTGCCACCACTCACTCACTGGTGTCACAATAGCTTGCATTTAAAAACAAAAAACTTTTTTCACTGTTTTAGATTGAATAGCAGTCAGTGTCCTTAAAGCGGGTGTGTCAGGCTTACAGTGGATACTGTGCCCAGTGCCACCACTCACTCACTGGTGTCACAATAGCTTGCATTTAAAAACAAAAAACTTTTTTCACTGTTATAGATTGAATAGCAGTTAGTTGTCTGCCACTGCTGCCAGCTTCTGTGTCAGGCTCACGGTGGATACTGTGCCCATTTGCCCAGTCAGTGCCACCACTCACTCACTGGTGTCACAATAGCTTGCATTTAAAGACAAAAAACTTTTTTCACTGTTATAGATTGAATAGCAGTCAGTGTCCTTAAAGCGGGTGTGTAAGGCTCACAGTGGATACTGTGCCCAGTGCCACCACTCACTCACTGGTGTCACAATAGCTTGCATTTAAAAACAAAAAACTTTTTTCACTGTTATAGATTGAATGGCAGTTAGTTGTCTCAAAGCGGGTGTGTCAGGCTCACAGTGGATACTGTGCCCAGTGCCACCACTCACTCACTGGTGTCACAATAGCTTGCATTTAAAACCCCAAAACTTTTTTCACTGTTATAGATTGAATAGCAGTTAGTTGTCTCAAAGCGGGTGTGTCAGGCTCACAGTGGATACTGTGCACCGTGCCAATACTCACTCACTGGTGTGACAATAGCTTGCATTTAAAACCCAAAAACTATTTTCACTGTTATAGATTGATTAACAGTTAGTTGTCTGCCAGCGTCTGTGTCAGGCTCACAGTGGATACTGTGCCCAGTGCCACCACTCACTCACTGGTGTCACAATAGCGTGCATTTAAAAACCAAAAAACTTTTTTCACTGTTATAGATTGAATAGCAGTTAGTTGTCTCAAAGCGGATGTTTCAGGCTCACAGTGGATACTGTGCCCAGTGCCACCACTCACTCACTGGTGTCACAATAGCTTGCATTTGAAACCCAAAAACTTTTTTCACTGTTATAGACTGAATAGCAGTTAGTTGTCTCAAAGCGGGTGTGTCAGGCTCACAGTGGATACTGTGCCCAGTGCCACCACTCACTCACTGGTGTCACAATAGCTTGCATTTAAAAACAAAAAACTTTTTTCACTGTTATAGATTGAATAGAAGTTAGTTGTCTCAAAGCGGGTGTGTCAGGCTCACATTGGATACGGTGCCCAGTGCCACCACTCACTCACTGGTGTCACAATAGCTTGCATTTAAAACCCAAAAACTTTTTTCACTGTTATAGATTGAATAGCAGTTAGTTGTCTCAAAGCGGTGTGTCAGGCTCACAGTGGATACTGTGCCCAGTGCCACCACTCACTCACTGGTGTCACAATAGCTTGCATTTAAAACCAAAAAACTTTTTTCACTGTTATAGATTGAATAGCAGTTAGTTGTCTGCCAGCGTCTGTATCAGGCTCACAGTGGATACTGTGCCAAGTGCCACCACTCACTCACTGGTGTCACAATAGCTTGCATTTAAAACCAAAAAACTTTTTTAACTGTTATAGACTGAATAGCAGTTAGTTGTCTCCAAGCGTCTTTGTGTCCGGCCTACAACTTGTACTCTGCCAACCTTTGCCAGTTCACAGTGCCACTCATATCTGGTGTCACAGTAGCTTGCATTTAAAACCAAAAAACTTTTTTCACTGTTATAGATTGAATAGCAGTTAGTTGTCTCAAAGCTGGTGTGTCAGCCCTACAGCGTGTACTCTGCCAGTTTACAGTGCCACTCATATCTGGTGTCACAATATCTTGCATTTAAAAACAAAAAACTTTTTTCACTGTTATAGATTGAATAGCAGTTAGTTGTCTCAAAGCGGGTGTGTCAGGCCTACAGCGTGTACTCTGCCAGTTCACAGTGCCACTCTTATCTGGTGTCACAATAGCGTGCATTTAAAAACCAAAAACTTTTTCACTGTTATAGATTGAATAGCAGTTAGTTGTCTCAAAGCGGGTGTGTCAGGCTCACAGTGGATACTGTGCCCAGTGCCACCACTCACTCACTGGTGCCACAATAGCGTGCATTTAAAAACCAAAAAACTTTTTTCACTGTTATAGATTGAATAGCAGTTAGTTGTCTGCAAGCGTCTGTGTGTCAGGCTCGCAGCGTATACTGTGCCCACTTGCCCAGTGCCACCACTCACTCACTGGTGTCACAGTAGCTTGCATTTAAAACCAAAAAACTTTTTTCACTGTTATAGATTGAATAGCAGTTAGTTGCCTCATAGCGGGTGTGTCAGCCCTACAGCGTGTACTCTGCCAACCTCTGCCAGTTCACAGTGCCACTCATATCTGGTGTCACAGTAGCTTGCACACATAGTACCACTAATCGGAAAAAAAATGAGAGGCAGAGGAAGGCCACCCCGCAGGGGACGTCGTGGTCGTGGTTCTGTGATTCCCTTTTGCCCTAGAATAATGCCCAGTTTTCAGAGGCCAGGTACCCTGAACTTGAAAAGTTCTGAGGACATAGTTGACTGGCTAACACAGAACACCCAATCTTCTACAGCTTCCGCTCGGAACCTTGACGCAACATTCTCCTCCAGCTTAGCTTCGGGCACCTCTCATGATACCACTCACCCGCCTGCCGCCACCACCAACACTAGCACCACAGCCGCTTCACTTGGTATGTCAGAGGAGTTATTTACACATCCATTTGAAGAAATGAGTGATGCGCAACCATTATTGACAGAGGATGTAGATAACAGGGATATGTCTCAATCAGGCAGCATTACACATGTACGGTGTGATGATGATGATGTTGTACCCACTGCTGCTTCCTTTGCTGAGTTGTCAGATACAAGTGAAGCGGTTGATGATGGCGATGCGTCCATGGATGTCACGTGGGTGCCCGCTCGTCAAGAAGAAGAACAGGGCGAAAGTTCAGATGGGGAGACAGGGAGGAGGAGGAGACGAGTTGGAAGCAGGGGGGAGGTCGTCGCAAGGAGCTAGTGGCACAGTCAGACAGCATGCATCGACACCCGGGGTCAGCCCGACAGCACGCCAATCAACGCATGCTGTGTCCACCACCAGAATGCCGTCATTGCAGAGCTCAGCAGTGTGGAATTTGTTTTGTGTGTCTGCCTCTGACAACAGCGATGCCATTTGCAACCTGTGCCAAAAGAAACTGAGTGGTGGGAAGTCCAACACCCACCTAGGTACAACTGCTTTGCGTAGGCACATGATCGCACATCACAAACGCCTATGGGATCAACACATGAGTACAAGCAGCACACAAACTCAAAGCCGCCATCCTCCTCCTGGTCCAGCATCTTCAACCACTGCTTTCCTCCTTGCCCCCTCTCAACCATCCGCCACTCCGTCTCTCGCCTTGAGCAGTTCCTGCTCATCTGCCCACAGTCAGGTGTCTGTCAAGGACATGTTTGAGAGTAAGAAGCCAATGTCAGAAAGTCACCCCCTTGCCCGGCGTCTGACAGCTGGCTTGTCTGTACTATTAGCCCGCCAGCTTTTACCATACAAGCTGGTGGAGTCTGAGGCGTTCAAAACATTTGTAGATATTGGAACACCGCAGTGGAAGGTACCCGGATGAAATTTCTTTTCACAAAAGGCAATCCCAACCTGTACTCGATTGTGCAAAAGGAAGTAATGGCATGTCTGGCACACAGTGTTGGGGCAAGGGTCCATCTGACCACTGATACCTGGTCTGCAAAGCATGGTTAGGGCAGGTATATCACCTACACTGCGCATTGGGTAAACCTGCTGACGGCTGCCAAGCATGGAATGCGTGGCTCTGCAGAGGAGTTGGTGACAC